AATAAATAAATAGGTTTTAAGCCATCTGAGCTTTAATAGTACACACGAACAAATTCTGAGAAATGTTACCAGTCATTTATGTATTACATTTTATAGTAACCGGCAGATAAGTGTTACACACGATCGATTCTCAGAAATACCAATCCTCTCACAGATTTCAAACTCAAAATACCCAATTTTAAACCTTATCTTAATGACTATAAAGTCTTCTTCGTATATCGTCTTATCATTATAAAATACTTTGCGTATTCTATGATTAAATAATGCTTTAAATATTATAAGAGATTGGAGAAGCGTTTTACCTCTTAATTTAGGTTCGAATTTTCTATCAAAATCTGTGGTTCGACGAACGAACTCTTCATCAATAATAATTAAGGCAGAAACCTCTTTGACTAAAACCTCATTATTAAAAATTCTTAGGTTCATGTCACTGGCTAGAAAATTCTTTAATGGCATTCCGTTTTTAAAAAATATATGGTAATGAACGTCTGTTACAGCGCAGTCAGTCACAACTTTTTAATTTTGGAATAGTATAAAAGGAAGAAGTTTTTTGTTTAACGAAAATATATTTTTAGTAAAATTAGTTGAGATTATACAAACATAGTTATCTAGTTGTGAAATGAATAGTTGTGAAGTGAAACAACGTAAAGACTAAATATAAAAAAGAGCCAAAGATAAAATCTTTACTACCTATTAATAAAAACACATCTAAGTTGGATGAAAAATTACAAACATCTTTTAAAACAAAGATAAAATTACTTTGTTATTCCTTCCTGATTTGTATGGCTGTAACTTTACGCTCTTACCCAAATACCCAAAGGCATAGACAAAGCTGCAAATGCAAAGCAAAAGTGGTTTCATGTATTAGGATTATTCCAACTACCGTTCTACCAGTTAAGTATTATCTAAAAAGTGTGGGAGAGCCATGCTTCGGCACGAATGGGCCGGTCTCGACCGACACCAAGTATCAGAAAAAACTAACGTAAAGCAATGCTTGCGTTGTGTTTCGTCGTGTGAGTGAGGTTACCGGTGCCCCAATTCCCTCCCTTCCCCAATCTCTCCAATCCATGAATCCTCAAACTCCTAATCCCCAAAAGGTCGGTAACGCACTTGTAATGCCTTTGGCGCTCCAAGTGTCCGTGGGCGAGGCCGATTGCTTACCTTCAAGTGACCCATCGGCACGTTTATCGGGTTATCCCATAAAAAAATCGAAATATACTCAAAACCGCTAAGTGTGACACAGGAATCCAAACCGAGACAACTTGCTCGGCAGTCATTCTATCAAAGTTACTAACCAGTCATAGGCTCATTTCTATTAACTAGGACTTATTACGGTACGTACAAATAAATGTAATTACTAACCAACCTACCTACTATTTACAGGAAAATACGGCCGTTTTCAAGGAAAATGTTACCGTATATTATGTATCTAGTGAAATTGCGATGAACGAATCGTGTCAACATATCATTTGAAAAGTATGCCCTCATTTGTCGATCCAATTTCCTTCAGGAATCAATGAACGATATCCTTTTCATTTTATGATTCGAGAACGTTCGATCAAATGATATAGAAATCTTATTAGGCTATTCATCTAATTATAGATACATCAAAAAAGATAAATCCCTATTCCCAAAAGATTTTACAAGAAAAAATGTAAATGTAGATAAGATATAAATTTCTTAATAGATTTCCGATGTTAAAATGTCCGATGTTTTTCTCAAATGATTCAAATTGATGAGCTATGGAAAATGACATAATGGTGTCATGAGTTATTATCGAGATAATTGTTTTAAAAGTCATCAACGTTGTAATTACGTGTTTAAATTGAATAATATTATTATGGCAGCTATGTAATAGGGGACGAGGCACCGCGTCTTGTAATTGAGTTATTGGTACAGGTATTTTAAATTGGGTGGATAACATCATAAGTATGGTTTTTTTAGGGGTAAAAATCATCCAATGACTTCTCCCTCCCGGGTGAGGCGAGAGGGAGTGCTGACTCAATCTCTTACTGACTAAAACCACCCCGTTCTTACTCTTCCACTTCGAGCCGGAGCCCCGGCAAACCCGTTAAGTCTTCCGCGCCTCTGTATCAGCCCTATTGGGACCCCATTTGTGGTGGTCTGATGGCTCCTTGCGCGCGGAACGCAACGTGCCGTACGCTTTGGTCTGGTTCTGATCGGCGAGCACGGGTGACTCGCCGCCCGCAGGCCCGTGCAGATCGTCTCGTGATCCCCGACGCCCGGAGTGTCTCTCGCGACGGCTGGGGCTTGAGGAGGTTTGTTCCCTCACGCGCTCCGCCGCTTCCTTAGCTAGCATGACTGCTTCGCAGAAGGAGAAGACAGCATCCCAGTCTTCCTCGTCCGTACCATGGTCTGAACCAGAGCCCATATGGCTGCGACTGTAACTGTTTAAAGGAATAGACTTTGTGCCGTGTGGCACATCAATAGGGTAGATAATATTTATTTTAATGTCCGTCTGGTAGATTATTTCATATACGAATACTTTTGTCGACATATTGATTTGAAATGTCGCATGGTGTTACTTCTATGTACATTTTAAGCGTGGAAATGACGTTTTAGCTTCCACTCTTAAACTTTGAATGGTTTTATCTAAGTATTATTTTAATATACGGCAAATTAAAAAAAGTGTCTAATATTTTTTCATTACCTAACTGACGTCATCGTCATAATCCATATTCTATTATGTGCAAAGTTGTATTCAGTATAACAAGCTTGTAATTGTAGATGCACAAAAATTTCAAAATAGACAAAAATAATCTTTTATATGAGTTATTATGACGTGAAATTAAAAACAAAATAGTTTTTTGACACCACACTCACCGAATCCGCTTAATATGTTTTGAGGAGTCTCACCAATAAGGCAGGGTAAAATATAAGTAATAGTATATTATAAGGTATTTCATGTTATCCTGTATGTGTTCTGTCATGACATCTGTAATCCCTAAAGGCTTAGTATAGAAGCATGTGGAAGCCCACGCTTGTTTGGTCGTATTTAATATCATTTATGTTGTAGGAAAAAACCGTATTGCTGTCTAATCAGAAATATAGACATCGGACAACTATTGGGAATTCTTATACAAAATAACATCCCGTGTACATTGAAATAGAAGCATTCACCGATCTGTCCAATTACACTAAAAGAAACTCTATTACTTTTTTAAAAGGATCGAATTATGTTTTAACTGACGCAACTTTTAGGCCGGTTTTTAATTAACCACAATTTACAGAGTTCCATTGAAAAGTCAGCTTCGATTTGAGGTTTGAGAATCGAACTACCCTTTTAGGCAGTATGAAAGTTGAAATGAACTGTTTAAAAATGTACGAGGGCCATTAGTGATCCACATCGTAGTCGACAACTAGTCAAAAGTTTTTTTAATAAATTGATTCTATCAAATTTTACAGAGGTGTGCCCTTAAATAGCCAAACTATATAAAGTTTAATGTGGAAAGGGGCTCATGAAACATAAACAATTCTACTAATATTATTTAATGCGAGATTTTAAAACCGCTACAACTCGTGTAAGCCAGGATCTACCGTAGATACAACCATGAAAACACCAGAACACTGAAGTCCGACGCGTCCCAGGGACATGGATAACTGTCTTGGTTCCCGCAACGAAGTGAATCAGAAGATATTATAAGAGGAAAAGAAAAAAAACATAGTTTTCACTTCCCTCGGTAAATTACTGCAGGAGACAGAATGATATAACATATGTAAATAGTGAAAAGTTGGTGTTACATTGTACAGTGGCTTTAAGTGTAATGTACAGCACCTAAACTAACCTCTTATTTGTATATTTAGATGTTACTTATAGGTTAGTAAAAATCAAAATGTTATTAAATATCACCTGTCTTAGATTAGGGGTTCTTTCAAATTCAGAAAAGGTTTTTGAAATCGGGCAATAGTGCAGTAATCGTCTTCTCATCTCGAATCTTTAAAATGGCATCAAGACACATTGTAACCTTTGGTATTGTGGACGTCCATGGCCAGCACCGATTGCCTATCATCATGCGACCATGTGGTCTGTCTGCACGTTTGCCAAAAAGAAGCACGAAGTGTTTCCCATTAAGCTTTCTTGTGCGTACAGCTAAGGAGTGGAATCCTTTGCCAGAGTCTGTATTTCCTGAATGATATAACCTAGGTGTCTTCAAGGCCCGAGTGAATAGGTTGCTTATGGAACGACGTGCTCCATCGTAAACCGCATCATCGCTTACCACCAGGCGAGGTAGTGGTCAAACATCAGCCCCTCAAGTTTTAAAAAAGAATTATACATAGAGGTATAATTGGTATAAACAGGTTTTACTACGACTACACTTTAGTCTACTGTCGAGATATAACAGGTGTAACGTTACATAACGTAGATAGTTTAGGTCTCAAAACCATTGTAAATCCTAGATCTGTGCATGCTTAATTGTAGGATATCGAGAACTTCATGTTTGGACCGAGGAATAGTGCGATTTGCATAATATTACTTGGAGAACTTACGATACTGTTTACATTCAGAATTGGGGTGGGGCAATAGAGCCTAAAATTTGGGTCTATATAGGCTTCTCTGGTTTCGCTTTTGAGACTATATTTTAAACAATTTATACATACATAACATCACACCTTTAACCCCGAAGGGGTAGGCAGAAATGCACATTATGCCAATGTACAATGTAACACCCATTTTTCACTATTTATGTTATGAGTCCCATGTAATAGGGGGTGAGCCTATTGCCATATACCGGGCACAATTCCAGGCTCCATGCCACTACTGAGAATATTTAAAAACCCAGTAATACATTGCCCGACCCGGGAATCGGACCCGCGACCCCTTGCCTGGCAGTCGCACTTACGACCACTCGGCCAACGAGGCAGTCTTTAAATAGTCTTTAATTCAGAATGTTTTAAGTACATTTATAATATTAGTAGGATTATTCATTAATTGAACTTGCATAACTAATCTTATGTTTTATTTTCCAGATCCCATCAAAATGATGTCCGCATTAGTTCTTCTGTTGTTCGGTAAGTCTTCTTTTTTGTGTTATATTTAATGTGAACCGATTTGTTATAGGTTTCCAACAATGTAATAATTTACGGGCAATTACGGTAACGTTATTTATGATAACCGCTTATTTTCCGGCACGCCAGGCAGGCTTCGTTTCAAATATATTTATTTTTGTTCAAGAATATCAATGTTTTTGTTCGGCTACTTAATTTAGGTTTAAAGTACTAAGTTTAAAGTTTTTTTAAATTTGGTAAGTACGAATTTAATGAGCTAGACTGTTTGCTTTTTGGTCTGTTGAGTTCTGGAATAGCGATAAGATATGATTTTTTTTTAAACAAACACGTTCTCATGTCCTGGGTGCGTTCGCAAACAAAAACAACAGTTGAATAAATTGAGTGGATTATAGAGGTACAAAGAGTGGTTCCAAGTGAGAATCAAATTCTTCATCTCGATTTGTGCAAAAGAAAATTTGTCTTTTATCACAAGGTAAAATTTTGGGTAATGTTTCTTTAAAACGTTAATTTTAACGTCTACAATTTAACATTAAATGAAGACAGAGTCAAATATTTTCCTATAGGTATAATCTTGTTTTCTTTATAGCCAAACTTTGTACGAACAAATATTAAGATTTATGAATTTTGTTGAGAGCCTAGTGTATAAGACGGGCTGTATATTTTAGAATTTAACAGGCTATAAAGCATCGTTAACTTTGTTATTAATAGCCGAGCATAAGAATCAAATGTATGGGAGAACATTTATCTTGTATCGTTCTATTTAAACAAACTTGGACGGTTGTCCCAGTGGTTTTCTCACACATAATTTTTATACATATTTATCTGTATTAGTCTATTAGTTTACCCGATGTTTCTGTTGTTATCTTAGTAACATCTTTCTAATGTCTTTGGTTTATACATTTGTTTTTTTTTTGTACGACGACGGTGGCAAATAAGCACACGGCCCACCTGACTGCTGCGGTGGATATTACGGCACTTAATGCCACTGTACAATGTAACACCCACTTTTCACTATTGATGTTATGACTCCCATGTATATACTCCCAATAGGGGGTGAACCTATTGCCATATATCGGGCACAATTCCAGGCTTCATGCTGACTTCGTGCTGATTGACATTAAAAAAACCCCTGTAAAAGTTTGCCCGACCCAAGAATCGAACCCGAGACCACTTACAAGGCAATTGCACTTGCGAACACTCGTCTAATGAGGTAGTTAACATACTCATACTTTATAATAGAAAAATGATTACGTATTTATTTATCTACTTTATTACGTATTTATAATTGGTACTGAGATTCTTGTTTACAGCTACAGAAAACTCATAACATAAAATTGTTGCAGATCGAAGCGCTGTAGAAATTGGCATTTTTGAAATACGTGTACGATATAGCTTTATATTATGGGATCTCGTAAGGCATATAGAGGATATGCACGGACTGCATTTTCCTCCAACTAATGCCCCGGCACGTCCACGATTACCTTACGTTAGCTTCTATGCGCAATATAGTTCGACATGTGCAGTTTTGTGGGTTTGCAAAATTTAAGAACTGTGTTATAATATGTCAAATATTTATTTTCCTTTAATGGACTTGTTATATATCATTGTTTATGGAACTTAATGCAAATAATGTGTAGTCTAAATGATTGAAACAGGCTAACACTTTTAACACAAAATCAATGATGTAATGCAATGTCCGTACATCTCCTTACAAAAACCTAAGCAAAACTGTTGAACATTCTACTTAGTACAACCTTCCAAAGACCGTTAGTAAACAAGCTTAATAAAAACGCCTTCCACGTAAGCCCTTTAGTTAGTTTAACGAGAATCCAAGCAAACACGGCGGCAAGGGTTGGCCGCTTTGTACGATTCAATCAAAGCTTGCCCGAAGCCCGCCAGTTTTTTCAAACTTCGAACACGCGAGCCGACAGCCATAATAAAATTAGTGAAAAAAGAAAAAAAATCTGTACCTCACCGGCCAGGTAGAAAATGGCGGATGAATGACGAAATTTAAATTAGAAAACGTTCGTGTTACATTTAAATTGGGCCGGAATTAATTTTCTGTTGTTTTAGTATAATTTTACAACTGTAGCCCCGAGTGGAAGGTGTGGATAATAAAACCGTGGCCCAAAATTAACAGAGCAAATGTCTATTTGAAATTAGGATGCGTCCTGTATCCTTGAAGCCTTGACGCGGGAAATATGATGTTTATAAGCGCTGGAGGCTTAAAGATATAAAGTATTCCAGTCACAATGTAATTGTAGGCGAAATTTTATCAAAATTAGTGTAGCAATTTTGTGAGAAAGATTGCAATTCTGCATTAATCAATTAAAAGTTCTTATTTAAAAATGTTTTTTAATGTGTGAGTGAGTGTTTTCCTTCGACGCTTAATTGTACATACATATAATTATTACCTATCCGTAATTGTTAAACAAGAGTTAACATACCATGTCATTCGTGGAAGAAACCACAAATACAACGTCACAGCATCACAATACAAAACTAACCCTTACTACCCAGACAATAAAGACTGGAGAATCATATTGTTACCTCCGGATTCCATAGTACCGTCTTGAAAGACGGATTAGTTCCTGTATTGTTGAGTTGTATAGGGGGCTACGTTCTCTCTTGACATCCTTACTTCCTATACCACCCTTGGGAAATAATGGCTCCCTTTTCCGATACAGGAAGCTCTCAAGATGATGTGCATTCAAAATAAAAAATATATAACAATGCCTTCTTTCCCCTGGGGTAGACAGAGGTGGAAATGTAGTAGATCAAGTTTTCAGCATATGTAGCGTATGTCATGGCGCCAACTACTTAAATCCCATATTTAAATCTCCTTGCTATATATTTATAACACTCGTGAGACAGACAATTAATTATTATGTTTTTCTAGCATGGCTTGAAACTAGTCGAGTTCCTCGTCAAATATTACGTGAGTAAGCCGAAAAAGATAATAATTAACCCTTGCTATAGTTATTTTTATGTTAATTTTTATATCACCTTAAAGTGATTGTAACAATAAAGTATATGTATCTATTACATGTAACCTAATATTTGATCTAGTGTGTACAATTCAATTGTTGGTGAAACAATAAATAAAAATAAAAAATCACAAAATATATTTTCCAGATATTCGACAAAGAGTCCTTTCCTGAAGTAATGAATTAGAAAGATGATAATAATATTTTAAAATATTTTAATAGCTACAGTCTAGACTTTTATGATATCATCAACAGCCTATAAATGCCCACTGCTGAGCAAAGCCTCTTCTCACACGGAGAAGGTTTGAGCATTAATCACCACGCTTGCTCAATGCGGTTGGCAATTATAAACTTATAATTAGAAATTATAAGCCCAGATTTCCGCACGATGTTTTCCTTCACCGTTTGTCAGTGGTGTCTAGATAATCTTAGTGAGTACATACATATAACTCGGAAAAAGTCACATTGGTACTTGCCGTCGGTAGGTTTTGAAACCGCACCCTCATGCATGAGAGGTGGGCGCCTTAAACCTCGGGGCCACCATGACTAGACTAGTATAACATTGTTACATTTCTGTAGATTATTCGCCTATTACGTGTTTATGTATCTCAATGATATACGCAACACAGGTAAGTACACTTACCTCCACTTTCGCAAAAATCAGGCCAAGCACAGCAATTCCTATAAAAAGCAACATTCGTACGACAGTTTAACAGCACTTTAATCCAGTCTGATGCAATTAAACGATTAATTGAAACAAAGCTCTTGTAGCGGCTCTCAAGTGTAACAGTTTAAGTACAGATACCAGCACGACAATCTACACAGTCCTATCAATTTTTTTTAATAGATTTCCAACCTTATAACTTTGTGATAAAGTTTATATTGTTATGAAGGACTTTGGTAGGTTCGGGTAGCTTGATGTGCTTGTGCCGAGCGATCACTGGCGACAAATTGCCTCTACAAAATGTCCTTTCATATCTCCGTACAAGAGGACAATTTAGCTTCGAGGACATTTTCATGTCGATATTTTTATTTTTTTTTCGTCGGCGGCGATGAGCGGAATATTAATGGGAATTGACGGGTGAAACAAGCGAGTTTGTTTGAGATTTGTGTCGGCACAGAATATGGTTGATTTTGATATTTTAATCGATATTGTGCTTTATATATTTTTGTATAAGTATTATTTTTGTTACATATTTTTCTGAATGGCCTGTTATCCTTGTGTAGGTAAGCTGATACTATAGGTAGAGCAAAATATTTAGAGTTAAGGCTATGAATTTAGTTTCATTTTTTGAAATATTATTATAATAGTAATACCTGTATTACTATTATTTTTTATGTGATAAGCCGGTAAACGAGCTGACGATGGTAAGCAATCGGCGTCGCCCATGGACCGCTAGAACACCAGAGGCGTCAGAAGTGCGTTACCAGCCTTTTGATGATTCGGAGTTTGAGGATTGTTGGTGATTCAGGAAATGAGAATATTGAGGAAGGGAGAGTAATTGGGCCTCCGGTAACTAAGTCACACGACGAAACACAACGCAAGCGTTGCTTCACGTCGGTTTTCTGTGAGGCCGTGGTATTACTCTGGTTGAGCCGGTCCATTCGTGCCGAAGCATGGCTCTCCCACACTTAAATATTTCCCATCCTTATCCCATTTTTAATTATGTTGTTCCACTAGATGAAATCCATAGTCCATTAATAATAGGCTCTAGGCTGTTGATAACGATAATCATAGACTTATTACACTCCTCATATTTTTGCAGTGAAAAAGGTAAAATGAACCAATCTCCATCCAATTGCCTAGTCATCAAAAAGCGACATCTGTAAAACTTACGTGTTAGTAACGAAACATGAAAACTCATCAGACACACTTGTTTTTACCCTCCGAAACTGAATTTGTGTAACAGAAATAAAAAATATGAAAAAAAATAGAAAAAGTGAACTGGCAGGGGTGGCACGTCACGAGGCATTTCGTAATTACTACCCCTATGATATTATACTTTTGTTCAAAAA